AACATTCAGTCTTTAACCACAGGTCACAAAAGCCAAAGAAAAAAGTCTTTTATTTGCCTATTTGAAAGAAAGCAAGACTATAAGGAGAAGGTAAGCAGCAAATCTCTTTGTAACTGCCTCTCTGTATCAAGCAAAGATCACCAGAGAAAAGGCAAAATTAAATCAACTTAAAAGTGACATAAATTATACTGTACATTCACACTTTGCAAATAAGAGAAAAAACTGCCAAAACCCCTACAATCTTAAAATCTGCTGTGCATTCAGTTTTGCCCAATGTTTCCAAATACTGGGAGCACTGATGGGAGTAAAATTCACTAATAATGAAGCAGCATCCTCCTTTGGGCTTGGCATATGCAGAATACTGTAATGCAAGAGTTCTTGCAAACAAAAGAAAGTTCAGTGCCTTCAAATTACAAAAAAAAAGGAAGCAAAATTATCCATGAAACTCTTCCAAAGCTTGTGCAAGTCTCTTCAGGATCAACAGGAATTCTCATTCCATGTGTCTACCCAAAGAAGTGCAACAACTGATGGCCATAAAATTAATTCCAGCCAGTTACCACAACAAAAACACTTGCTGTATTCTGTTTATATTATATACAATATTGCTGATTGTGCTGTATTCAAACTCATGAAACAGGATAGAAAACATCTTTGCAATGTGAGTACAGAAACTCATACAATGCCTAATGGAAACTCAAAGCCAGTCATCCACTGCACATCTGCCATGAAAAATCCTGAAGATAAAAGTTCTGTATCCAATCTTGCAAAAAGATTTATTTATTTATGTACCAACTTACACAGAGGTATAGCAGCTCCAAATCTATACCACTAGAAGGCTGATCAAAAAGTGTATGGCATGAAAATTTACACTGATGAAAACTATGAAACATGTAGCTGAGGTCTCAAAAATAATTCACCAGTACACTTAACACTGGAAGCAAAAATATTTTTGCTTGAAACATCTGCTACAAAGGGGCATATACACTTTTTAACATATAAAAAGTAAATTTTATAAATTACATGTAAAGCTTGAAAGGGTAATGAAGGTAAAATTTAAATGTATCACTGCAAGGAGGGAGGGAATCACCACTGAAGATGCTGTACAGTACAGAGCACTGTCCCAGCCTATTGCTTGAGGAATACTATGGGATCTAAACAAGCTACAGATATGGAAGTTTTTTGTATCTGCTTTTCAAATGTTTATGTTTTTGAGGCCTCAGATAAGTCACTGTACCTACATCCAACAACTCTTATTGTTCCTTTTGTTCCACAAGCAATTAAAAAGAGGGATAAAGTCTACAGAAGAAAACAACAGTAACTAAGACATTTTCTCATACACATCTCTAATCTACACAATGCAATTGCCATGAATTTTATACTCTTCTGAAAAAGAACGTAAATCAAACATTCTTCTCCCCCAGAAGCACTAAAGCACCATCATGGCATGGCAATGCATCCAACAAAAACTATGACAGTCTGTCCAACTCCTCACCTACTGCACTAATTATGAAAGCATGGGGTTACACTACAAATAAACCTCCAAAATTCAAAAATTATGAATAAAAACAAATTTAAAGAACTTATTTTTTCTTCAAGTAAAGCATTTTCTTAAATAACATCAAAAAGGAAAAAACAGTAGTCCCACTAAGGTTTCTATTTTAAATTTTTAAACTTATTTTCCTTCTATGTCAGTTCTCAAAGCTGACAAATACTGAAAAACAGAGCAGGTTCTTAAAAAAGACATCCTAAAAAATTATCATTCAAACAATTATGTTTTCAGTCAAATAACATACAGCAAAATCTATTCACTCATTTCCAGTGACAAGGACCCTCCTATTCCCAATGTATCCTACAAAATGCTGTATTTGGGCAGCTCCTTTTAATTGACACAACAATCAGGAGTTGCTACTTTTCAAAATGTGGTGATCTCTCTGAAATGGATACAAATGGCACGATGAGCTTCATGGCAAGTGCAGCTTTAGGTCAGAAACATTTTATGTTACACCACAACAAGGCTGCCATTCAGGGCACATTAATAGATGACACAAAAGTGAGCTCCTGACAGTGATTCCTAAAGGACACTGTGCACTTGGGAAAGCAAAAATTGCCACGCGAGACTAGAGAGACACAAAGTTTTCTGCAGTCAGAATATCCTCAGTAGGAGAATAAAGGAAAGGGAAGAAGGATTGATCTTGATTGAAAAAAGACAGGAAACAAAATTACACGGTTTAATGCTAACACATCCAAACAATTGCAGAGAGACTAACCAGAGAAAACAAGGGTGGAATCTAGACTTCATACAACAGTACTGGTACCCTGATCAATGGATTTAAACACAAAAAAGAGAATATTAAAATTCCAGAGATAAGCTCACAAAAAAACCCCAAAACCAATCCCTCCAAACACCAGGCTTTTAAATAGCTTGGAAAAGATGCAGATTGATGAATCTACTTTGAAATTAGCACTCAACACAACGACAAAAGGGAGAAAAATCAATCTATTTGAACTGAAATGAAGTTGCTCTTTTTAATAGGGAGACCTATTTCTTAAAATAAGTTCCCATAGTCATCATAAGCTGTGTTTCATAGGTTTGATGTTGACCTAAAGCACCTTCTTTTAAGTCTTTCATATAGGATTTTTTCAGAAGATTTGAAATACATGAGCTTCTAACCTAAGCTCTACAGTGACTTTGCAACGAAATTACGTTTTGTTACATGCTTAAAATAATCAGAGTTTCTAGAGCTCAGATTCATCTCAATTTTTATCCCTATATTGTCAAAATACACAAATTATTTTTTTTTCAAACACAAAACCACTTACTCCCTGAAAATAATTTTGGTGCTAAACAGAGAGCATAGACTCCTGACCCCTCCCCGCTCCTTGATTCTTTCAGTTGGTATCACAGTAAAAACCACAAGTGCTGAAGAGAGGAAGACAGGATACGAGTCCCAAACACGCACCACAAATCACACTCACATCAAGTTAACCGCCTGGTCGCTCTTCAAGCACCTACACTGGCAAGTGTCCTTCCTGTAATGAGCTAGCAGCTAATTTCTTACCTAAATAAATACAGTGGTAATGATCAACCAGAAATTACCTGCATTTTTCCTGTTTTGTCTAGGTCTGACCAAATGTAATCAGCTTACAATTACACTAAGTAGCTTGCTTAGCATTCTATTTATAAAACTGATTAGATGCTGCTAAGCAGAGCAGGCAATGTTTTAACACTTTATTTTGACGTTGAAAGCAGTGGCTAGGAGAAAGGGAGCAAGGATGTCAGAGAACAAAAAAACATTCAGGAAACTGTAGAAAGATAATTATACAGGACCAAATCTGTTCCTTTATACGCATTTTAAAATTGTGTTATTTGATTAAATAGCACGTATTTAGAATTTTGGAGTTATTACTCTTAGATATTTAGATTACTCAAGTAAGTCTGAAAAAGTGAATATTTAGCCATACTGACTGCTGTTGATTCTTTCTGGAGAGAGAATATGGAATTGCCCTGACCTGGGAAAGAGAAAATCCAGGCTGCAGGAAAATTACAGACCATTGCTGAGGCCCTGGCCTGAGGTTAAGACAACTGAACAGGATGTGAAAAACTAAAGGGACATGACATGGGTAATTGCCAGATGTGACAGATAACATGATAAGATACTGACAAAAGCCACAGATAGGACCATGAGGGATGACAGGATTTCACAAGTGTTTAAAGGGGAGTTAGATAAGAAACAGCCAAGTTTCACAGAAAACTGAAGGGGGATCTTTAAGGTATTGGAGACCTTTTGGGAGGTGGAACCTGCAGCATCAGCATTCCTTCAGTAACCAGATCTGTAACATCACAGAAGTCTAAGATTCCCTACATAATAACTGAGAACAAGTAGGGGAAAAGCAATCAGGGGTGAACAGATCTTTTGGGAAGAGACTTGGATTTAAAAAAAACATTCAAATAGAAAGAGATACAAGAATGCCAAAGAGGGTGAACACAGATAAGCTAAGGAAAATGTGGCCAGTGCTTTCTGGCACAGTCCCACCCTCGATCACCACATCCTCATCAGAGCTGTGAGAACCACTTGTTCTGATCTTACCACACGTATCAAACTTGCTTCCACAATCAAGGAGGCAAGGAGAGTGCCAGGGCGCTTCCCCTGGCTAACAGCAGGACTTCTGCCTGGACAGATCAAGTAACCTGGTTATCTCCATGTCAGTCGACATCCACATCCACCGACCCCTCCCTAACAGGCTGTCAGAAACGGTCTTTGACAAACTGCTTCAATTCAACTCCTCATTTCCTAGTTTATATAATGAATGTAATACTGCTTTTCTTATCTCCTTTTATTAGGTTATTTTTGGCACTGGTGGTAACAAAAATCAAGGAAGTCAACAGTTTAAGTTATTTAAGGGCTTAATATTTTTCTCTTGCTACTTTATCTTTTAGGTTAATCTGAAGCTCACGAGTTCATAGTTCTGAATTTTTATACATTCTGCTGGAAGTTGAACTCTGATTCCAAGAATTAATGCTCTGCTTTACAAGTAAGAGAATGACAGGAGATTAATACCTTTCATACAGAGTAAAAGGTACTTATAGGATTGGATACTGATAGAACTCAAAGGAAAATAGAGGAAAAATTCAGTTCCTAACCTGACAGGTACTTGGGGGGGAAAAAAAAAACGTAATCCATAAACCAGGACAAGGGATTAAAAGAAACAACAGTTTATCTGTGCTTACGAAAAAAACAGCCCTCATTCCAATTCTTTGTGGAGAATAATAAACATGAATGACTTAACAACAATGTTGGGATAATTTTCCAAACACATGTACTCTTTGTTCATCACTAAGACATTTAATGAATCTACTACAAATTTACAACATCCTGTCAAAGACTATTGTTTCTTTTGAAAATGAAAATAAAGGGATTATATATGGGGGGGCACATTAATTACAAAAGGCTTATATTGTATGCTAATTTATATTGTATTATAATTTATAATTTATTTACCTTTTTGTTTTCTTGTAGTTTTCCAGCTGTAATGTCTGTATACATTTGTACCTTTCCAATTCACACTGCTCACATAGTTCCTCAAGACACAATAGATGATTCTCCATTTCCTCAAAGTTTGCCTCTAGCTGGGCTGTAAGAAAGACTTGTATGAATATCAAACTGCATCAATAGACAGACAACTCACCTGAGCAGAAACAGGATTTCATAAAGGTAAATAATTAACATGGTGATAATTACACATACAAATGGCTCCAAAATAGAAACAAATCTCAGCCCAAATCCCATAGTGAAGAGTGGCAGCAGAGCCACGTTAAAGGGAGATCTATCTGAGGTTCCCTTGCAGTAAGGTGCTGAACCATTCTATTTGTCCCAGCATCATGGTGCCACAGGCTCCTGGCCTGTATTTAAGGAAGAGAAGCATTCGGGACTCATAGATTTCCTTCTTGGGCAGACTAACAGTTTAGCACTTCCTACACAGTACCAATCCAAGGAAACTGTGCTGGCCAAAGCCAGATCAAATCTTTATTCAAATGAAACAAAAATAAAGCATACAGGGAAAATTTTAACTTTCACATGACGCCATGGTAATATAAAAGAACATACATTTATGTCTCTGAAAATGGACCCTGTACTGATGGCTAAATATAGAGATTTACCTATTTTACATACACATCTAAATTTTACAATTACATCTACCTCTTTTACATACACATCTCTTAATCTTGTCTTTAAACACAATTGCTCAGTCTCAACTTCAAATAGATCTTGTTTATGACATGTCCTGATAAAACTGTTCTCATCTCATAGCCCACATTGCTCTGAGTAGATATTTGGACTAGACAATTCCTGAGGTCCCTCCTCATCTGAATTAACCCATGCGAACCTTGTATTAAAGGATCACTTTCCCTGACAGTGATTAATGCTAAATTTCATGTCTTCCTCAGGATTTCACAGTGGAAAATCTATTTTCCTAAATCCTAACCAGCTGGTCACTCTGGGATGAAACTGAGTGAACTACAGGAATACTATTCATCTTTTTGCCAGGCCTTCTCCTATACCAGAAGGTAAATTTCAGGAGCAAGAATAATTCACATTTTTACAAACAAATAGCAGCCAGAATTAATGTATTTCAGATGCTCAAAAAAAGGAAACAGTAAGCTGAAGGCATCAGTCAAATCCTCCCTTTTGGCTTGGCCATTCTACTTGAAGCCTATCTGGGACAATAAATAATTTCAAATTCCTCAGCCATTGCATCATTATAAATAGCCATCCTTGAGGTTCCCTTAAAACAGAAAAAGTTAAGACTTCATAAGCAAATTTCCTAGGATGCATATTCATATGTTCGGCTTCACTTAACATCATTTTTTTAGTCCCTAACAAAGAAGATCCACAACAGGAAAGGGAAACATGAATCATGTAATCAGTAAAAATTTCCCTAAATTATTTTTCTGTGTACAGAACACGGAGGGGAAGGGGGAGGGATTGGCAAAAACAAAGAAAAAAAAAAGAAAGGCAGTTGACAATTAATGCAGAAACAAGTTTGAGAGGAAAAAAATGTTTTCAGTTCTACATATTGTGATGTAGAACAATCATCGTTTACCACATACTCAATTTTCTCTCACAAAATCCAGATGTATTCAAAGCATAATATCATTATTACAATTATGATTGGTGGGCCCTTTTTCTTTAAGAAATAGACTTCTCTGAGTGCATTAAAATCCAAATACCTGTATTGTGCTAACTTGCTTTTTAGAATAATTGCTCCCTTATTAATCTGCAAAATTCTCAAACACAGCAGGACTGAAAATAATTTACTAAGGTACCTATCAAGCACTGTTTTTTCCACTTAAAAACACCCACCACCCGCTTTGCTGCATTTGCTGTTGAAATAATATTAAAAGACAACAACAAAGGACAGGAAAATAAAGAGGATGAAGAAAAGTGAATTCGAGAGAGCAACTGATCCCTAGCACTTGCATTTGAGCAGCCTCTAGTGGGAATTGCAGAAAACACTGTGCTCCTGAAGAACAGGAAAGGACACCAGAGATCTGTCCAGGAGGAACCAATCCTGCTTTACTGCAACAGAGGTTTCAGACTATTTTAGCTTTCTGAAGTGAAAGAAAAATTGTTTTTCACAAAAAAAAAAAGTTGAAGACAAGCTCTGTTGCACCAGCTACAGCTGAGAATTAATATTTCTCTTACCCAAAAGAGAATATTTGCACTGTGCATACAAAGGCAGTGCCAAACAAAATTACAGGTTTAATAAATTTGAAACTTAGGCTGTAAAAACACCATCTCCTCTAAATATTTTTCAGATTTAAAAAAATATATACTTACCTTTAGATTAAGAATTTTCATATATAGCAATATCCCACACTTGGTAGAAATAGGATTTTTTTATTAGACAGCTGAAAAAAAAACTCCTTCTTTTTTGGGTCGTATCACTCCAATTATAGCAGTTTAGGCTGAATTTCTTACATTACCACAAGCATAACAACATTATTTGAAACTTTAATTCTTAGTTTTAATTCTTTTGAAGTATGTTTAAAGTTTAGTCAGGTGACATTACACTGCATTATCTCCTATCAGCATACACTGTTTTCCATGTTTTACCAGTTATCAGGTATTAAAGTATTTACCTAGAACTCAACAAACACAGATTTTTGTTATCCAGAAAACGCTTTCTTTCTAAAGCGTACCTAATTTTAATTTACCACATAAGTTTTCTAATTGAAACCTATGTTATCTGTAGTTCTGTATGAGTACAAAATTTGTTAGAATAGCTAAATCACAGCTGTATGTCAGAAAATAGCTTTCCACTAACTTTAGATGTAGCTTTCTTGCACTGTCCCAGCGACTCAAACAACAGAAACCATGCAGTAGTATTAAAGACATTTCTACAAAGCTCATTTATTTTCTGACTAAAAGGCAAAAAGCAGAAAGGATGGAAGCAATTTTATCAAAGATATTCTCTCTACGTCTAGGTCACACAGGGGCAGAAATTACTAAAAGCTTAAAACGAGCAGTGAAAGACATATATGAACAGGAAGAGCTCAATTCAGCTGAAAAAAAAAAGAAAAGAAAAAACTTTATATAATTACAGTTCTACTGTGCTCAATTTTTATCTGTTTTTACAGAAAGGATCTTAAACCCAGCTAGTATGATAACACTTACATGAAATTAAAGCAGCTTCTTTGCTGAAACTACATAACAAGTACACTAGGATATTTTCCTTGTGTACTCAATCCTCAAGCACTTCCAAGTTTACAGCACCAAACTGTATACCTCTTATAGATACATATCCCCACCTAATACAACCCCCCTGCTGAATTGTTGTGCCGTGGAGCTTATGGAGAAAAATTCCCTGTTGAACATAGCTGTCTTTACACAGTATTATTCAAATTTCCTAGTTTACTTACATCTTCCCAACATTTTCCCTGATTTTCTCAGAATAAGATAAATTCTGAAAAAATTAGACAAATTTTGCAAAACTAGAGAATGGCAACTTTCATACTTGATACACAATCTGAAATTAAAAAGACTGCCCTTTTACTCAAGATATATACACGGATACTTCTCCTAATCAGTGCAAAAGGTTCTGTTTCCCCAACGAATTTTTACACCCATTTTCACATCACTTCAAAAAAAAAAAAAAAACAACCCTGAAGACTAAGAGGCAAAGGCTTTTATCTTTTATCTCTGTGACTACATGCCCAGCCTTAGTTTCTTCCCAGTCCCACCAGTAAAATATTTTCAACCTATGCTGGATCTGTCACCTATGTACAAGATCAGTCTTTCTGAAACCAGTATCAAGGTGATCTTTAAAAGAAAAAAAAAAAAAAAGAAGGGAGAAAAACGGGATTTGGATCAATGTTTGTATGTATTGATTTGCTGAAATCAAAACCAATGTTTGAGCAAAATGCCAGTGTTCAAACATGAAAACACGTTTCATACTAAGTATGCTGGTATCAGCGAGCAGGTATTTTCTACAACATTGGAACTAAAAACTGGTTTAAGTGATAATTCCAATTCTGTATTTTAAAAGGGCAATAACTGTCCTTTTCACTTTTACATGACAGTAATTTTTTCTTCAACGTTCTCAGTAGCAGCTACAAGACATTGCATAATACAATAAATTTATCAAATGAAGATACAGATTTTTCAACTTCAAGTGAGGCATGACTGATAATGTGAATACCTAAGCTAAAGAACTTTATAAAATTGCTAATGAAAACATGTCTTGTAATATATAGCAAAAGCTAAAGAATCTGTACTTGAGTCATACCAATTTTAAGTAGGTCACTAAAAAGGTTCATTTTCATTATCCGAAATTTCTTTCACTGAAAGCAGCCAAGGTCCCCTACCTACTTTCAAAATGGAAGCATTAATAGATTTATTAGAAGCACATCATGTCAGAAGAAACAACTATTTAATTGAAATGATGAAGGTTAGTCAAATTACATCTTGAGTGCATAACCCAGCACTTTGTGATTCTATTTTCACTTTTTTTGCAGAATATTTTACTCATATTCAAAATTTACAGTCAGAGTAATAGTCATCTCTTGAAAAGCTCAATACAGTATTTATATGAAGTGTTAGTTAAGAGTTATAAAAACTAAAAATGATGTGCAGAATATTCTGCAGTAAATTTCTGTTACATCATCTTCAGAAGGTTAGATGGTGAATTTGGTACGAATTACATCTCTCTCTTCAAACAGACTCCATAAAAATTATTAGAAGAAAAAATAAAACCCAAAACACAGTTGTTAGGAGAAACTAATAAGAAATTTTAGATAAATTACTTAGAATCTGACACAAAAGGTAAAGCTAGAAAGTTTGGTTCAAATCTCAGAACCATAGCAGTACACTTCAAAATTCATTAGCTTCTCTGAGCAGGCTGCTGAATGCTTCCTTAAATCCTACTTTTGCAGTATCAAAAAATATCTAGAGACATACCCATCCAATAAATTGCACAATCGGAGTGAGATTAATTCTAGTTCATAAAACTGTATTAGGAATCACAAAGTAGCCCAAATTCATCAGGATTTTACAGCATTTGCAGCATTGTGAACTATAAAGGCAATTTCATTAGCTTTCTATTACATTGTTTATCTTTGGGCTACCAGTGGACTGCATGGTAATATTAAACCCAGTATTTTAATAAATCAGTATTTGAACTTTTATGTCCTTAGAAATTTTTTTTTTCAAACAGCCAATATTAAATGGTTAGCACAGATGATAAAGCCTTATTAAACAAGACAGTATAAGAAAATTGTAATAAAAAGTAGAATACATTCCCCGGTTCAGGAATAAATAGCAAAGTTATTACCAGCCTACCTAGGAACAAAAGCTGATTTGTGCATGACCACTGACCATAGCAGAATGAGAAATTAGCCCTTGAAGACAGCAAATAACCCTCCTTTTCTTCATATTGCGTCAGCACTTAAATCCAGCCCACCCCACAAAAAACAGAGCTGCAATCACATGAGGAATTTCTGCATATTTCCCAGCTGCTGTAAGAAAGAGAAGTGCAGGCACAGTCCCTGTGGAACTTTGCTACCTAAAAGCTATGTGTAGAATAAGTTTTTCAAAGCTTCAATTTGACACACCCCGTATAGATTTTCACGAAAGCATCAAGAGACATGGTGTGGACAGACAGGGCTGCTGCCTGTCAAATCCTGCCTATCCATTTCAAGGCTCAGCAATAGTAGAGATTTTCAGAGACCAAGAGACCCCAACATTTGTTCCTAATTTAATTTACAACAGTGGATCAACAGTTTTGTATGAGAGGTTCCAGAAATAGTCCACTAAAGCATTTATCTTTTCATCTTTTAAATAAAATGAACAGGTTGACCTTTGGTAAAGTTTTAAAAATTGCAACCTAACAAACACGAGGTGTTTGCTAATCTTAATAGGCAGCATTAATATTCACCCATAGTAAAGCTCAGTATCACTTCAGAATATCTTAACCCTGTACATTAATTCAAACTATGGAAGTTACCTTTGGAACCAACAATTATTCAAAATCAAAGGTTTCTGCCTTGGAAGTGTCCCTAGTCAGGTAAACTTCCCCCCCATCCCACCCCAAATCATAAGTTTAAATATTATTATGTAGAATTACACAGATTCCAAAAGAAGCAGCTATATATGAGTGTTCATACTATCAAAAATCGCAACAATTTAATAAGATTTCAAGATTTTCATGTTCAAACATTTGTCCATTTTTTTATTTTCAAATAACAACACCTACAAAATTTTATCTGTTGGGAGAGCAACCACTGCTACTTGTCGATCTTTTTAAAAAAATAGTTTAAGAATTACAGTTTTACCACAGAAAGCAAAATTGAATTTTATCATCACAACATTCACAACAGCTGAACTTCAATCTAATCCTCTGTACTGATCTGAATGTTTGTTATGTCTATAAGAACTTACCTAGGTTTGCTGTGAGGCATTCCAGGTCTGCTAAGAACCCTGGTATTTGCTGAAGCTGATCCTGCAGTTCCACCAGACTGCTCCTTTTCTTCTCCCAGTGTGCAGAAAGCATCACAACTTCACTGTCAACCAGCTGTAACAAACAGGTCTTTAATTGCAAACTTATGTACCTGTTTATAAGCATCTTGACTAATTTTTATAGTTAATACATTTGGAAGCATAAGGTCAGCAGAGCAACCCTACAGCACTGGCCATTTGTGTACTCCTCAAGTAAATTAACAACATGCTAAAAGAATCCCCTGTAGTATGGAATATTTGTATCAAAATGCACTGAACAAAAGTATGACAAAGTTATTTCTCAATATACTAATCAACACAGGAAGTATTTTATGGATGTTATTAACTGTAAGCAAGATGTAATGAAATTTTGGCAGCAGTGTTGCATTGGTGCACAATAACAACATTGCAGTGCTGGAATTTTGGGCATCTTTATATCAATAGTTGAATGTTGCCAGTCATATCAATTTCATCTTAACAATAAAAATGAAAATTCTGCACATGCAAAGTAGTCTAGAAAATAGAGTAAAAGGAATGACATTTTAAAAAGTTGCCTTTGTAACATTACTGCTCTTCTGCTTTTGTGATAAACTGCAGTAGTGCCAAGTGCTTATGAACACATTACTTCAATTCTTGTTGTTCCGTTCTTCTTAACTTTTATTATATAATAAGCTAAGAAAATGATACACTGCTTTAAAGTTTCACTTATATTTTCTATGAAAAACACCAGGATCAAGAGAACTTATGTAACAAATGTTCCTATTATATATAATTCAATTATTCAATTATTGTTTCCCTGCTCTTAATTCCATTACCCATTCTTCCTCTTGCACACAACTACAGCCTGTGGCTGTATCTGCATTCTGAATTCCTCAATTTCTATAATCTTTCTAGGCAGAAACTGAAAAAGCCTGAGCAATGGGCAAAGGAGCTCTCAAATTTACAATTCTACCCACTTTATATAAATTCTTTTAAAAGAACAACTTCTATCTTTTGCAAATTCCTCCATCTACCTATGCCTGTTAAGAAAATATCCTGTTTCACCAGACAAGTTTTGAAAACTTATTCCAAAGCTCAGTGAGAAATTGAACAACTCAGAAGACCAAAGAGTCTTACTTAAATAAAGTCAGGTCTGTTTCTGAGACTGGGATATGGTATTTATAGATAAACAGTAAAGCAAACAAAAAACAACAAGAAGCCACCATGAGAAGGGGACAAACACCACAAACATTTTAGCCCTGAGACAACTGAATGCAGCTGAAATGACAATCTAAAAGGACGATTTTGTACAGGGAACTGATAGTTAACATCTACCATTTAGCATGGTAAGACTGTAAGCTGCAATTAAGGCCTGAAATTTTCACTTTACTCAACATTTATAAATAAGACAGCACAAGTAAGCAGAAACAGGATACTGGACAAGTGGACCTTTAGGTCTTCTACAGTACAGTCAACCTTCTGTGCTTACACAGTTTTTATTTTCCCCTGTTATAAAAAAGTAACAAACAAAACTCCACAAGCAATACATACACTGAGTTGTGTGCAAAATAAACATCTGAATTTAAAGGGAAATGTAAGTCTTTTTGGAAATCTTTCATTCTCATTTTCCCAAGCAGCTATAACATGTGAGATTAGGTTATATTAGTTTAATATATATGAAACCTCACATTGTTTTCAAATCTAGAATTTTTAAAGCAAACTATAGCAAGTAGTATAAAATTGTGACCACATAATTTATGAGATTTTCTAGGAAAAAAAAATAACGTTATGAGCAGTAAAACATGCCACACTGGCAAGGAGAACTCTATCTCCAGTGCCTGAAGTTTCCACTAGAATGCAGGGAAAAGCAGGGACAAACCATTAGGCAAGAGAAAGAAGAACATAAGAGACTTTCTTTCATACTGTAAATACACAGTGAGTGATTTATCCATCATAAAAAGATACAGAGAAGTCTCTAAGTGAAGAGAAGAGCCAGAAAGGATACACCCAGCCAAAGTGAAGGTTTCACACAGGACAGAGAATCCCACAGCTCAGTGCTGCTCTGCATTGTGCAATCTGCACCCAGATGACACTGTCTGTCCTTTAAACACGGCTTGAAACTGAAAGTCTGGTGCTGAGTAATGCATTGGTAACACTTAGTAGAAGTTTCCTTTCCCTTCATTCCACAGATAAACCACACAACTTGTCACTGTACTTCCAAGGCAGGAATAGTGAATTAAATTAGGAGAAAGCACAAACACTTCCCAAGTATTTTCAGTTGGGCAAGCCAATCTTGCTGTCTTCTGCACTAGGAGTGGGCAGCAGCCAATGACACAGCCCTGCCCTGATACAAACCACTAAGATGCCTCAACTCCAAATACATTCTGTACTTTCACAGCCACCCCCCACTGCTTTTAAAGAGCTACAGCAGTAACATATAACATCATCTTTGCAACTGTTTACATTGCATCACATTATTTGTAATGTCACATTTGCATTACATTGTTGTCTACATTACTGTGAGAGTGAACAAGGCTGTGTGGGTGTTTGCCTGGGGGCCAAGGTTAATAACCCTGTAGGCTGGTACTAAAAATTTTAGTTTAAAATTATTTACACATTTTAAAATATTTCATGCATGGCATTATTTTTTCTTACCTCTCCAGCTTTTGCACAATCTTTGGCTCCTTTATGAAGGGCAGCCCAAGCATCTTCATATCTGAAGAGAAGACAAATTACTATTCTTACTGCGCTCTCCTTACAAAGGAATTCATGGATGTCACTGTGCTTATATTTACAGGTACTACCAGAAATTACAGCTTAAAAAGCTGTGTAATTCTTTCCAGTACTTACTGTTCTGCCAAGACAAATATACAGTGAGAAATAATGTCTTTTAAAGAAAAAGTGATCCATGCTTTTTCACCTGCTAACTGACATTAAAAGCTAAATGGACCCAACAATACTTACAAGACAAGTCACCACCTTAAACATCACTTGGAACTCAAATTAATTAAGAAAATTTTAAAAATTAACAAGATTGTAATCATACATATACCCCTTCCAATAAAAAAAAAAAGACAGAAGGAAATTGTATCAAACATGTCTAAGTTATGAAACCACAGACTAGGGCTCGGTGCTGGCCTCCTTCACCCCCTGCATTAAATACTGACTAAAGTCATCTTTATCCAGAACTTCAGTTTTATTAACATGACAGCACTTTGGGATTGGGCAAGCTTTAAACACATTTACCATTTATCATCACTCCCACACTACTAATTGCAGAACAACCAAAAACCTATTAGCAACACTTTGATTTTCCTCTCTAATTTCTTTCTTAAGAAATTAGATTTTTTAAATCTAATATAGGATGCAAACACTAATAAAGAAAAGGAAGGTCATACCTGCTTAGTAATTCCAGTCCAGCAGAAAATTCTGGCAAACACTGAACAGTTCTATAAAGCAAATTGCAAATGTACAAAATTGTTAAAGAAAAGAAGGCTGTTATAAAAAATGTGCGCACACACATCTGACAGACATACTGAGCACAGAAATGTTTCCTCCTGCTCCTACTTTCACAAACATTTTGCCAATCTTGGTTTAAAATGCATTACACAGTGTATATTACAAGAATATTCCAAATCTAGGATTGCTTTTTTTCCTTGTTGTTTTATGATAGCCTATTCTTACCTGTTCTCAACCATGTCCATTAAAAACAAGTTTCATTCAATAATGTCTAAGTACAGTTAACAAAGATATAGGATGAATATAATTTTAACCTAAAAAAGGGCACAGAACTATTCTGGAAAAAAAAGACTACTACACAAGTTCATGTCCCTCAATACAGATATTCCACTTAATATATTCTACACTAAAAACAAATACTGTGCTAAGGAACCTTTGGCAGTTTAATGCTCTAATGATCTCCTACTCAATGCATACACTACCATTAATAACAGCTTGAAGTATAAAGACATCTTATTATAAGTTAGAGAAGATTAACAATTCAGTACTTCTAAGGATGTGAAGATGGTGATGTTATCCAAAATTTGTCTCTTGGAAGATCACCCAAATAAGACTGTTCTGACTATCATCCAAACAATTTTAATGGGGGAAAAAAACTATCATAAATTAAACCTTCTTGTCCTTAAGGCAATGGAAAAGTGACAGAATCAGTGAAGTAGAAAGGGACCTCAGGAAGTTTCTATTGCAGTCCCCTGTTAAAACCAGCTATGAGATCAAAGCAGCTTTCTCAGGAAACTTTTCTCAGCTTTTCCTGTCTGATCATCTCTTGTTTCAACTTATGCCTACCATCTTTTGAGTTTCCACCACACACCAGTTTCCTCAATACCCACTTCACGTGTAATGGCAGGCTGCTGCTAGGTCTCCCAGAAGTCACCTATGCTCCAGGCTGAACAACTGCCCATCTCAGCCTTTCCTCATACACAGAGTTCCTGTCTCAACCATTTTGGTGGCCCTCCACTAAATTTCTCCAGAATATTAACACCTTTCTCACACTGGGGGACCAAACTGGACAGGATAGTTAGTGGTCTAATGTGTGCCAAGTGCAAGGGACAACCACCTTTCTCAATCCCACTGTCTGGGTATTGTTTGCATCCCCATTAGCTGTTGGACTTCCCTGCTGCAAGGCATGTCCCTGGCTCACATTCTGCCTGCTGTCTGCCAAGATCTCCAGGGCCTTTTTAGCAAAGTTACTTCCCAGAGAGTCTGTCAGCCCCAGTCTGCATTGTTGCAGGGGATACTTTCTTCACAGGGAAACATGGAATTTGTACCTCTTGATTTTCAAGAGATACCTCTTGGCACATACGGTCCTAGCGGCTTTTATGGATTGAGTATCTTCAAGCCATCTTCACTCACTACTGGCCAGTCTCCTCGACCCCTTTCACTAAGCACAAGGCACAGAAGCCACAAAGGCATTAAATAACTCAACAACCTCTACATTTGCTGTAATTCAGCCCATTCATCACTAATCCCATGTTTTCTTTCAGCCTTCTATTACCAGTGCAGGACTAGTCGCTCTTCTTGTCCTTGACATGTCTTGCAAATGCCAGTTCCAGGTGAGCTCTAGCTTTCCTAAGGCTATTCCAGCATGCCAAAGAGGTCATAAAGAGCCATTAAACAGTTATCCTTGACACCCTCCCAGGGCACTTCTTGACTGCATACTGATGGGTTGTCCTTTCAGGAGCTGGAAGCTAAAGGCCCCCACAAGGGTTTAATGATACAGAAGCTTCCTCAAGTTATTTGGAGAAAACATCATTCTCTCCCTGGTCAGAAGGTCAGTGACAAACTCCCATTGTAACACCACCACCCTCACTGGCCTCTCCTTGGCTCCCATCCATATGCCCTGAGCCATCCTTACAATCAAGCTGAGCTGTGTTTGTCCCTGAACTTTATCAGCAAAGCAGAGGCCACCCCAGCATTCCCCTGTTTCTGATGCTTCAATTGGTTCACCCAGTGCTTGTCTCAAAAAGCAATGGATATTTATAATAGTACTCCAGAAGAACCAAAATACTATGGACTGGAAACACACAGAGAAGGCAGTTGCCTAAAATAGTTTTATTCAGACTTTCACCCATACTTAGTTTAGCCTCCATGCCTTGTCCATACAACTAGTCCTCTGTTAAAAAAAAAAAATCTAAAATACCAGGATTCACAACTTAGGCCAGTTTATTTCAGATGCTTTATCTTTAGCACTTGGCTTGTTTTTAAATTAATTTCTGTCTACATAGTATGTTTTACTAAGAACATGCTTTACACTAAAGCATATCTGATTTTAAGAAGCAGCTCTCACAGATATTTACAGACAAGTAGTCTTTCCCTGCAGCTTATAAAGGTTGAAAAAATGAGCAGAGAACTAAAATGCAGAGGATGAATAAAACCCTTCAAATCCATGAAAGAAAGAAAAGAAAATCAGCACAATTATCAAAACTTCTTGAAATAGAAAACTGAAATATTTCATTGCACACATATTTTCCACAATAAAAAGGCTGCTATTGTTTTTACACTAAAAAAAAACCCTGACTTACAATTTTAGGACATGAGATTCACAGCGATTGTAAACAATTACATTTCAGTGTAGCACAACCTGAATCTTCTATGAGGTACTACAATAACACTGCATATTCATTTAATTCAAATAGCAATTTATAAACTGATTGAAAGCCATTAGAAATTATTTAGGTCTATCAATGAAGGTTGTATTAAGCAATGCATTTGCTTTGGTTAAGCTTCTCTGTTGTCAAAATAGCATTTTGTAAAATTATATGCAAATGTTCTTGCAATTTGCTCATATATATGAGCCACTTCAAATTTTTCCTTAGCAAGAATATCTTATATTAATGCTATATATTAAAACATTCAGAAGTACCTTTGCCTATTTTTCTTTGCATCTCTTGATTTGTCACCCAAAGTCTTCAACCTACAAATCAAAACACAAATCCATCAGACATTTGTAACACCAAAAATAGAGAACAAATTGTTTGAAAACATTCTGTTAATTCTAGTCTATTACATTTAATTTTTTTTCATCTTGATTCAGAAATAAATCAAATTTCCCTTAGTTTTGTGGAGACCCTCATATGAATTTATTTCCACTGAGACTGCTGCTAAATCTTTAGATTTTTTGCAGAAGTGCATCAGGCATCAGTTGTGTACAAAAGTCATTCACCTCTTGATACAATTTCCTTAGCAGACAGGAACTAAAGACCTGCCTAGAAATAACCAATCCAGCCCTGAGGAACACCATTTACAGGAAGAATTTACAATTTTCCTCCTGTGGCAAGGAAAAGCATGACAGTCATACATACACATGTGCCCACCTGCCATAAGTCTGCCAACACAAAACCAGCAGAAGCAAAACTTTTCTTCTGCCAGCTTTCAGAACCCCCAGCAGCATCACCACAGTGCACTGATACTGAGCATATCTGAGGCTTCTTTCACACACTGTCTATTTCAAACTGATTGGTATCTTGCTCCTCTAAAGAAAAAAAAACAAAAAACCTCCAAACCAACCAAACAACCCTTCCCTGAACTCTTTCCACTCTTTATCAGTCAAGATAGATATAGATAGATATATATATATACATAGATATATATATACACATATGTATGCTAGTCAAGTTGACACAGTGAGAACCAAACCTGCTGGCTATTCCCTGACCACCCAGGCAATGGCTGTCCTCAATTTCTAGGCCCTTTGTGGTCACAAAAAAGTTTTATTGCTCGGGACAGTAAGAAATAAATGACACAGACATAAGCAAGATAAAAATGAACTATGACACTCAAAGACATCCTCCACATATGACAGAGAGATCTGTAATCCTGAGTGACCCAGGGGCTGGGAAACAACCTAATATACAGACAGATATTCAGGCTGCTTTGAGGGGTAGTCAAATCACTCCCCCAGTCTTGATCAATTTTCCAGGAACTCAAAGAAACATCAAAGCTCTACAGCACGCCAGGTGGTTTACAATTTGAGAGAAGACATGCTAAGGCAGGTCTCCACTCCCTTTTACAGAGCTGTTTATAACAGCCAGGCCAAGTAGCAACAACCACAGCACACTGAGGAAGAACCCACTGCTGAGGGAAGCTGTGCAATTTGCCCTTCTGCACTGCCATGCTCCCCAGTTATGCAGCCCAGCCTGAAACAGCAGCACTCTTCTGCATCCATTCTGGTGGATTTTCCTCTGCCTGCAAAAGCTTGCTAACAGGTGAGTGGGTCAAAATTTCGATACCTTGCTCACAGGATACGTAGACTTAGACAGCAGACACAAATGAGCAAGGAAGGAGGCCACAGAAATGGCTAAACTGCTCTCTTTAAACCACACAACCCAGATTTAATGTTTTTCAGCAATACATACATGTTCCCATACTCCTCAGGAAGTGATATTATTTTCTTAAAAGTCCTGGAATACCTTCCCCCTCACAATTTCATGAAATTCAACTTGTTCTACTTCGCAAGGATTTATGTGTAGTTAACAAGTTGGCCACAACTTGACACCAATAATACTTTCTTTGGGTTTTGAGAATTATACAATTTTAAGCTGAAGTCTCAACATCACAAAATTACTTCTTTTACCACTTTGGTGGGGTGCAGAACAGAGTAATCCAGAACACCAAGAAATTAGGGTGCATGGTCTAGGAAGGAAGAGGGGGCAAACCAGGTCAACTTGTGTTTGTTCTGGCTACATGAGGACACTAAAAGAAAAAAATCCCTTCCACTACAGCCTCTGCCACTGTGTTTCTGAGATACTGGTTCCTGATGGAAAAAAAAAAAAAACTAACAAAAACCAAACAAACAAAACAAAAAAAAAAAAAAAAAAAAACAAATAACACCACAAATAAAAAAACCATTAAAAAACCCCCAACAATTACTCCACAGATGAAAATACCACTTAAAGACAGGACACTGGCAAAAGGGCACATTAATGGAGCTGCCAAAAAACAAAGATGGACATTACGAAATCAGGGACTGTTCTCAGAACAAAACACTGCAACACCAGGAAAAAAGCAAAATACATGGAAATATACTGATTCCACTGCAGCAAGTAAGAAAAACACAAATACAGAACCACAGAGTTAAATGACTCTCAGATCTGGCATGTTATGACCTTCCTGTTGTTTTCTTTCACCATGTGAAAAACACCCTTTTCAAAAGAGCCTTACACTGTACTGAGATACCAACTCCTCTGAAAAGCAAAACAGAAAGACAGACAGAAATAAAGCAATGATTTTGTCTGTATTTTTAAGACAGTTTAATATTCAGTTGGTGTTTGGTAAGATGAGACAGCATGCAAGAAATTTATCTGTTTGACTGGCAGCCTCTTCTATCAGTTTCTCTTGACCATCATACACTGGTATACAAGTAAGTAATGATAAACTGCTTATTTTAAGTTTCTGGGGTACACAGGGATTCCTCACTATATATAAATATTTACCATAGGGATATTACAAGGCAGCCTTAACACTGCCAAAGGCCACACAGTTTTTAAAAGTAATTGATTACAACACAATACTCCCCTGTGGCTCATCACGAGCCATCAGCTCTGCAGCACAGGCATGACCTTGTCCTCCGGCCACTCGCTGGCTTCCAGTGACACTCACTCGGGCCACCTGCTTGTACTAAAAACAGCATCGACACGGGGCCTACCCAAATAAACCTTGTCAGACAACGTAGGAAGAATATCTTTCTACTTTTTATTGCAAGCGTGGGGCTGTTCCATCCGCTTATCCTGCGCTCCTTTTCCCCAAGTAACTCATCTTCCAAGGAAAAGCAAGTTTCTCCACACACCAAGCGGCGCTCAGAAACGCTCTTTAAGGGATTACGCTGATCCATGAAACCTCGAAGGCCGGTAACTTCATAAAAAATTCAAGCGCGTTAATTGACCCCATTCACGTCTTCTCTCACAACAGCGGTCTGTCTGTCCCCCTCTCTCTCTCTCTCTCCTTCCCCTGACCGCAGCTGCTTCCCGGGCACCGCGGCTCCTCCTCCTGCTCCCCAGAGCTGCCCGCGGCACCGCAGGTCCCGCCAGCCCGCCATCAGCCGCCCAGCCCAGGCGGGAACACGGCGGGATGCGGGACCTTGGAGCCGCTTTTCCAGCCCGTCCCCGCACTCAGGAGGGCACCCCGGGTGACAGAGCCCGGCAGTGGCTCCCGTCTGCGCAATCTCCTCCTCTTCCTCCCTCCCGGTGCCAGTCCACGCCTCCCCGGCCCCCGGTCACCTGCTTTCCCCCCCTGCCCTGCCGGGCCGCGGGCCGCGGGCCCCTCTCCGGCTGCCCCTGCCAGCCCCGCGGTGCCGCAGCGATACCCACCCGGCGGTGAGGTCCTGCTGGACGCTCAGCAACCGCTCCCGCAGCGTCTCCAGCATCTTCCCGGCCTTTCCCGGCTGCGAAGGCCAGCGCCGGAGGGCGGGGCGCGGGCGGGGCTCGGCTCAGCTCCCGCCCCGGTGCCGCCTCCCCTCAGCCCGCCCCGTCCCTTCTGCCCCCCCGGCTCCCGGCGCGTCCTGGCGGAGTCGGGAGCGGGGAGGTTTGTTTGGGAGAGCTGAACCCCTCATTCTGTGTCCCCCGTGGTGCGAGGGTAAAGCTGCCTTTTTAAAGCCCGGGCGGCATCAAGGACAGATCTTGAGCAGCGTGCGAATCCCTGAAGTTACGGCTTTTTAGAGGTTATTTTAGAGACCACAGGAAAGCGCCTTGGCAGGTTGGGACCCTCACCAGAGGGATTTTGACTTCAGCGACGGTAGCATAGGAGTGACCTCCTTAGCGATACAAAGTTGATCAAGGGACTGGAGCATCTCTTTTACGAGGAAAGGCTCAGGGGGCTGGGCCTGTTCATTCAGCCTTGAGAAGAGGCAAGTGAGGGGGAAGAGGCCCATATAAATGTCTGTAAGTGTCCGAAGGGAGGGTGCCGAGAGGATGTCACCAGGCTCTGCTGGGTGGTGCCCAGCCGTAGGACAGGAGGCAGCAGGTGTAAAATGATGCTCAGGAAGTTCCACCAGAATACGAGGAAGAACTTGACGGTGTGGGTGACCAAGCACTGGAACAGGTTGCCCAGAGAGGTTGTGGTTTCCCTGATTGGATATATTCAGGACGCATCTGGATGCAATCCTGTGCCATGTGCTCTGGGATGACTCTGCTTGAGCAGGGAGGTTGGAGCAGGTGACCCACTGTGGTCTATTCCAACCTGACCTATCCTGTGAGCTCAGGGAATAAGGTTCTGTGACAAAATCTTAAAAGTACAGGAAGCAAATTCACTGGGTGTCCCTAGGGTTGCCAGGTTCTTGGACTAAGGGATAGATGATAACCTTTCAAAGTCCTTGCAAAGCTGATCGTTGAATTGTTTGTCTATGTGTCCCTCCACTATTTTTTTTTTGGAGACAGCTTTATAGATACTAGCAATTTTTACAAACAACGTCCTAAAAGAAAAAAGGCTGTTTTACAAATAGTAAATAATCAGGTGAAAAGTTTAAATTAAATTTCTAGGTACTGTCTGCTAAAATAATAATTGTTAGGAGTCATTCAGCAAATCTTCAGACAATTTAAGTGGAATCAAGACCTTTTCAGAACAATTGGCCAGTCTTTCTGGACGGCTGCATTTACAGTTACAGTAACAGGAAGACAATCTCACACCCTGTTAATGTTTGAATGACAGGGACATAGGATTTAGGTGGATCTGGGAAATCTTAGACTTTGGTTTAATTGAGACTTCAACTTTTAGAGAAAGATGAGATTTCAAAGTCAAAACATTTTATTTTCTAACCAATTCAATTTCAGTTGAAAATTACAAAAAATATTAAGAGAAGAGCACATTGCAAGGAGAATGTGTGTAGAGAGCCACTGCTGGATGTTATTTGATACTTACTGCAGAAGTATATTCAGGAGTGGTTAGAGGTACTTTGAATCAACTGGAAAATTGATGCCATAATCCCAACACAGCTTCTGTGCTTTCAGAAGAGTGTATGACCTATAGATTGTTTCTGCTTTGGCTTATGAGAAAAAAAAGTATTGCTCTGTGGCAGAAATTCAAATTAAAAGCTAAATGCCTGCTAAAAGAAAAATAGTTGGGTTGATATTCCAAACATTGAAATTGATGTAGCTTGCCTTATCTTGAGGTCAGAAAGACAGCTTTCATGGCAGACTGCATATAAAGTTATGTTAAAAAAAATAAAATATGACATTTAGAAGGTATTTTTCTCATGCTTGACCTAACAACAATATCTGAAAATAGAGACTTCCTACTCGCCTGCACAGTTAATTCTTCAGTCAAGGGGGGGAAGGCCTTGAATCAAATGTTTTCTGATGTATTCACAGACATGCATTGCAAATGCTGACAAAAGCTGTGCAATCTGGCTTTATGTAATGTATGTTACAGGAATTAAAGTGATCAGAAGACAAGGGAGGGGTTTTAACCTTTAATTTTCAGCTTTCCTTTGAGAAATCATATTAATTTCTTCAGTGTTACATATTTTCAATTTTCTGTGAATGGTTTTTGTCAGCGGCGGCCCTGCTATTTCACAGTGAATAAGCACTTTTAGACTCCATTGCTACTTTTGCAGTTAGAAAAACTATTCATAAACTGCTGTACAGTTTTGTTTCACATGTCTGTGTAGGATTTGGGAAAAGAAATGTGTTGAGATAGTATTAACAGTCACTAATTCTAGAAGTACAAAACTGGAAGAAACTTCTAAAAGCACATCCCCTGCTCAAGGGCTGTGATGAATTATAAATACTCTGTGTAAACTTTGTTTAACTGGTTCTTAGGAATTTTAAATTAAGGAGATTCTGCAAGCTCCTTATCAGCTCACTTGTTTAGCTTGATCTTCTTTTTTGTTTCTAGAGTGAATAAGCCTTCTCTTTTTATCCCCTTGTAGTCAGTTTCCAAACTTCTTTTATGTGTTGATCTGATGTGGAGATTCCCCAGTTTGTCCAGAAAGTGCAGAGCTATAACATTTCCATCACTAAAACTGAATTACATTGCTTCATTTTGAACACAAGTTACATATTGATACTATTTTATTCATATTCATGCACATTAACAATTAATTTAACAGCTCTGAGACACATCCTTCAGGTGTTAGTTCAGCCCAGTGCCACCTAAAATTCTGCCAGGGCCTTTGGGTCAAGTTTTCTAGAGATAAAATTAATGCTAAATAAATTTTTACTATCAATGACCTGCTCTGCTCATTTAGTAATTTAGTAGTTCAGGGCTGGTTATTTGATATTAATTCTGACCTGAATTTGATCTAGGACTTCCTAGTTTATCCTTCTGCTTCTCTGATACAAGCACATGTAGTACCTTCTGCAAACCCACTGTGACTGGCTCTACTGGTCTGTACAAAAAATGTATAGGCATTCTGTGCTTTGTACATCTATAAAGAACAGTGATACTAGTCAGTAGCAATAAATCTTTAGAGCAAAACACAGAAATGTATTTGACTTTGTAACTCTTATGTCCAATGAAGATTTCTTTTATTTTCTAGATCAGCCTCCCTTAGAAGCATAAATTAGGCTACATTTCTATAACAGATTTTGCTGTACAAAGTCATCCATAGTCATGCCTTTCCATAATTCCACCTTTTCCTAGGCTTTGATGACCCCCATTTAGATTGACTTTAGATTAAGACTGTTCTGAAAGAGTGATGCTGCAGATACCAGGCTCGTGCTTGTTAAGCTTTTCAGTGAAAGATCATTTTAAATAAATGCTGATATGTTGTTAAATGTAGTTCGTTTAGGTATCTATCTAGTTTATGTCTTGATCTCTTCTTTTGAGTGCAGTTAGCTTGATAACATCCAATATGACATTCTCAAATTGACTAGAAATAGTGAATAAAACTCTCAGCCCTTTCAGAATCTCTCAGGTTTGTAGAAGTAACTTATTTCCTCTTCTCCTTAAGTCTTGCTGATAGTATGGTTTAACAAACTTTATATTTTGGGTGCAAATTTAAGACTTTTTGGTTTTAATAATCTGTAGAATATAATTTAAACACGGCTAGTAGATATTATAGCTCTTCTATACATATTTTGTTTTGCTAGCTGGATCTGTACTGATATAAAGCTTAAATATTGTTAGAAATACCTGAGACAAACTTTAATTCTAAAAATCTGCTGTTGTAATTGATAAAGATTTTAATGAAAGTGTTTAAAGATCTGATTCAACATTTCTTGCAGGAATTCCATTGCATGCTGAAAAGAAAGGTTGGCACCTATCAAAAAGTTTTATATGCCCAAAACTTCAGTGGGGTTACATTATATCAGTGGAAACTAAAGCATTAATCCTAAGAACTATCTGTCATAGTCTCATTTATCCTGAGGCCTCATTACCATTTCTAGCAGCTTCTTCTTTTCCAAATTAACCTTTAGAGCTTTCTAATAAGAGTTAATTTCTGCTCTTATTTGTACTAACTCTTGGGGTTTAGCTTTGTAATAGTCTCTGCAGCTAACACAAAGTTTTTATGTTATATGAACAGAGAATATTTTTTTATCTCAATGAAGGAAATTATGAGGGAGGGGTTTTCTTTTATTTGTGTGTTTGGAATTTCAATTTTTTTTTCCCCCCTGTACCTAGCAGAAGAAGAAATAGACTGTAATCATTCCTAGTCCTAAAGAGAACTGGAAGAATAATTTCTGCAAACCAAGTTAAAATATTCTTAATTCAGTTACACAAGAACAAGTATGGGACTGAATCTCCAGGTTAATATACGTACAAAGAGCTGGTTTAGATGTTAACTTTTTAATGGACTACCTTTTTGATAGCATGAAAGTGAATTATAATTCTCAAATAATAATCAAGTCATGACTTGCTTCAGTTTCACTGTTTCTATGAAAAAGACTGGGGGGAGAGGCACATTGTAGCAATAGATAAAAATAATGGCGAATTCCTTGGTTCTCACCTCCCACTCCCTTACATTGTATCTAGTGAATGAAGACATGATGAATTCCTACCTTTCTGAACTATTGGAAGAAATTGGGGGTGGAGGGAATTAGTGGCTAAGCAGAGTTATGAAGCTAAACAGGCATTAGGATCCTCCTTCTGCTGGACCTTAATTGCTCTTGGGGGGAGGAAGAGAGCACACACCTTGGGACAGGCAGATTCCAAGGGCAGCCAGCAGTTATACCTGACTGGATGAGGTGGTAAAACATGTCCTGATGTGCTGGGAGTG